CTCACAAGTCCTTCATTAGGAACATATCTAATTAGCAAGAGACTGGTTTTTTAAAAGACTAATAATGGCTCTCCATTGTCAGATTGCAGATTACTGTATCTTTGTTCTTATCATTACCTGCATCACAAGGAACTCAATAAACGGTTGTCGCAGCTACTAAGTAATACTCTTCCCATTTTCAAAAGTCCCATTAATTTTAGGTGAATCCAAAACACTTTCTCTGCTAATACAGATCCAAGTTCTTGACAACTCCTCATTGTTTTGGCACGAAACCGGAATATGCCATGACCCTTTCTCAGATTTCTGATATGTCAAAAAGGTTATATTCAGACAAAATTCCATTTCATCAAACCGAAAACAAAAACACGAAAAGGAATAAGACGGTGAACCTGTATGACAACCGAAAACGGAGATGGCAATTCAAGCTTCAGATTACCTTTCGAAAAGGTATACCAAACCTGCACCAAAGCAATAAACCAGAGGCTAATTGTGTACATTTCTCAAAACTACACTTCTACTATAAAAAAAGGTATATATTATATAACTCTTACCTGATGCCTTTCTTTCCACTTTTGGAAAAAAACTACTCCCTAAGAGTTCGAAAATGTGATCTCTCATCTCATCATTTGTCACAAGCAAACATTTAAGCTTAGCAGCCGCATAAAGTCTAATACCTGAAATAACCAAAAGATAGTGTAACCAAACATTTTTTTTTTMTTTRTTTAACTAATGGGGATTGTAAAAGAAGTTAAAGTTCTTACCAATCATCATTGGAATCTGGAGGAGTCGCATATAGGACACTGTTATTAATCCATTCCTCAACCTGATTCCGGTGGGTTGAGTTTTCTAAAAACGCCCTAACTCGTTTCTTGTGCAATAGAATTAGGGGCCATTTGTTATCACCATTTTTATGATAAAGTTCCTTCACTACAGCTTCAAGCTGCCGCACATGCACGTTGTAAGTATCGCAAAAGTGGATTCGGAAAATATCAAAGAAGGATATAAAATTAAAGATAGATGCAAACCTGTGGAAGACTGAAACCACCATCTGCAAAATTTTGTTGGTAGAGCCCAACATTTGCTCCATCTACTATAGCTTCATAATCTCCATGTTCCTCAAGCCAGTCCTAGCAAATAGAATAGTTGAACAACATTTAACAAAGATTGACATTTGAATTACTCAAGAAAAACACTCTTTGTATTTTTGTATCGAAGTTCTGTTTCAAGCACCAAACTTAGAATTCCACTATGGACATTGGACAATACTAGATACATACATTACATCCACAGAAATCAAAAAACACAGAAGCTAGATAAGAGCATTTTCTTTTGTTTGTTACTCCTATGTTCCGATAAATGCTTGTAAAAACTATAAATTTCACATTTGGAGCTAAACAGAACATGGACAATGTTTCCTTGATTAATGATCATTTGTGCTAAAAGCAATTAAGAATCTATGCAGTATTTAAACAAAGCGATTGAACCTTCTTTTGCACTAAAAAATTCAAGCACTACACCTTTCTCTAAATGCTCATCAAAGTTAACTAAGCAAAACATAAACTTTCATTCTCCGGTATTTTAATCTCATGCAAGATTTTGAGTCCCAGACTTATTATAAACAAGCTAAAAGAATCCATGAATCATCCATATTTTCTCTAACCTGAAACTCGCTAAAGTCCACCTTTGTCTCGCATGAATTCATCTTTGTCTTCCTCTCCATAGCCAACGCCACCAAAGAATCCACAAACTTCAGTGTTTCTACCTCATTAGTATCTACACAAGCCAACTGCTCACTGCAGCTCAAACATCTTCCGGTTGAGCTAACATTACCTTTCTTCACAATCCATTTGCCTTTCCCAACCCAACCATGCCCATGCCACCCACCTACATTCTTCAAAACAGCTTCTCTAACCAGCCCAGCATCAGAACCAATTACACTATCACTAACCTCACCAGCTTTCTCACCACAGAACCATTCCTCAATAACTTTAGAAGTTTCTTCACAAATGCAGCCAACATATTCCCTTAACTTATTGAAATATCTATAAACCTTGTTTTCTCGTCCCGTGGCAGCACTTACCTTCAATAAAGCCGAGATCTCAGCCTCTTCCAATGCAAAACCTGTAGCCTCCATGTGTTCTTCCACCTCATAACCCTTTTCAGCCTCCAATTTCTCGCAGAAACAGAGCAAAGCCGGTGCATACGTCCTCAGACGAGGAATCGATGCGCCGCCAACCGAAACAATATCCTTGACAAGCTTGAAAGCATAATCACCATCACCTTTAGCAGCAGCTAGCCTAGCCACTAAAGTAACTGAAGCCTCATTAGGACTTATCCCGGAACTAACCATACGGTCAAAAATTTGGAAGCCACGGTCAATGGCAAGGCTTTGAAGAGACATGTCACTAACCGAAGTCGAGCAGAGATAAAGAAGAGTCTGGAAGTGTTGTTGGGTGAGTCGTAGTTGGTTAGAAGTGACGGCTGCATCATAAAGGGCTAATGCAACTGAGAGATCCTTAGACTTGGAGCATGAATTGAGATTGAATAGAAGATTGGTTTCTGGGTTTTTGCTTGCCTTCTTCTTCTTGTTGGGCTTTGTAGAGCTTTCGTCGTGCTGGCGAGGGCGGCGTTGATGACCAGTAGCAGCCATGAGGATAGGATAATAAGTGCAAAGTTACAAGCTTTGCATTGGCTAAAATGGAGAAATGAAAACCCAGAAACCAAAGTCACAACTAAGCAAGTTTTTCAAAGAATTTCGATGTTTCCAATGAATACATATTCAAAAAAATCTGTTAAATCCTAAATCAATGAAAAAAACGAGGAAGTTCTTAAAAAATTTCCAGTTCCAGTTCCTAAGACGGAAGACAGAACAGAGGATCTTACCTTGTTTTAGGTAGAGAAAATCCGGCCAAGGGTTAGAGATTTGACGGTGGAGGTACAAGCTAAGATTTTCAAGCTGAACCGGATAGTCAATCGGGTGGGTCATCAAACCGGGTCATGAGATTTATAATTTAAAATTAATCACATAAGCCACAATATAAACCTAGACCTTAGAGCATGATTATCAGTGGTTAATATAAGTAAATATACTCAGTTATTATAGATTAAACCTATTTAAATAAATAAAAATAGGCTTAAACTTATATTACCAGTTCTAAAATTAGAATTTATATTATCAGTAAATATACTGATTTACTTGTTTCTGATAGGTCAAAGAAAAAAAAAGGGAAAAAATATTGTGAACCGACGTTATCATTGTTCTCATCGACATCTCCTTCTCTCTCTCGAGATCGACATCTCCTTCTCTCTCTCGAGATCTCTTGATCTGCTGTAAAAAAATCAATCGATTCACCATCTCAATTATCGCTCTTGTGTTTCCTCCTTCCATCGCGACGGGTTTCTCCCACTGTTATGTAGGTTAGATTCGTTRTCTCTTGTTKTGGGRTGTGAGTYACGAAGAGAAAGGGT